AATGTGTTGTATAAGGCTCTCCTATAGAATGTCTCATTACAATTTTACGTATTTTAGGTGTTCTTGGTAATGCATAGCACTCATATTCTAAGCTGTACTTCGCTTATTTTACTAAGTAATTGCAGGGAATACCAAGAAGAATGTGGGATATTTTTCAATGCTTGTTTTCCTGTTCTCTGCTCTCTTATCGGTAATGTAATTTCCAAGTACTTAGTAGTGTCTTCCAATCATCTCTGTGGCAATCAGGTTTCTTGCTGGGGTCTCTGAAATCGAACGTTCATTCAGTGGAATGTTTTCTTTCATCAAACTTTTATACTCCGCTCTTCGAATTTCATTAGCTCAGATCTAGACTCCTGTAAATTCGGGTCATCAGAAATACTTCGATAAACACCGCACTATTTACCAGTATTTAATTCGTATTTGCACCTTTGACTTTCTTGCTAATCTCGCAATAGATTCCTGAGGAGAGCTCTCTTACTGAAATCTACTTCTCCTTTAGTAAATGCTTATTGTTCAACTTTCACTCTTCCTCATAGGCTTCAAGTAGTCATTCATCGTTTATATTTTGTAAGTAGTATTCATATACGATACCACTATGTACTCGGCGACTGTACTTATAAAAAAGTATCAAAGAGCATACTCGACGTTACTCAAAGTATATAGCTCAGACGAAAAATTTTGGTTCAATGACCGCTTACAATATAAAACCATACAGTCGAGAAAGGTGATTTTTTTGAGAAATTATAGTTCCTGCCTTATAAAAGAGTCGTTCACAAGAACCCGTTGAGGCGACAACGCCAAATAAACTGCGTGCAAGCTGATAAAGAGCTAAAAAATTACCCATCATGTCCTCCTATTTTGAAACGGGGTTACTTGAATGCGAGAAGTCGTTAAATAATGAGACAACTTTTTGTTTTCTTGTTTTTAAATTTTCTGCTTCTAAATGAGTTCTCGATTATGGTTATGGTTTTGTGTATTTCAACAAGCTTCCTTCTTTCAAAAATATTTAACTGCTGCCCTTTTCTGGTATAACTATAGGCATGTATTTAGTATTTCCATATTCTTTATTCATTAATACGGCGCCCTTTTTAGAAGTATTATACACAGAGCATCAATATTGCTCTTTGTTCCAGCTACGTTAGTTACCATTTAAGCAATTAAAATTTGCCATTATTCATGGAAACGTCCAGTTGTTTTTGGCAGTTCACTTCTCCTACGGTCGATTTCCTAGCATACACTTCAATTTCACATCCATAATTTCATCATCAATTTCAGTCTATAATTTGTACTTTTTTTAACGGGCTCGCGTTTTTGATTATAGGCTAACCTTTATCCATTCTATACATATTTTACACACTCAAAATTTTCCGTCTTCATGCTTCTAAAGATTCATTCAGCAAATATTGCAGTGAAAGATAGCCATCAATTACTACGAGGGTCATTGAAAAGTCCCTAGTATACCTAGGGAAGAGATAAATTTTGCCGGTAAAAATGGTCTTTTGGTTTACACTAGATCGGTACCTCAAAAACATGTTATTTGAATACGTCAACAGGGCTGAAAATAGCTACACGCGAAGTTTATCCTTGATCCATTATGGGAACAAAAAATAGCCATTTGATATTTTGAGTGCTTAAAAAATAAGTGATGTGTTTGATTTTGAAAGACCATTTGTCGTTTTTTTGTTGTTTTTCATCCAAGACTGTTATGACAACGTCGTAATGATTTTCAGTTAACGTCCTGCGTTGGTGTTTTAATTGAAAAAAAGTTCGAGTTAAAACATGGCTCCTAGTTCCAATTCGCGGTAGTATTGGTTACACTCCTGCAATCCTATCGATTTTCTCCAATAAATTCTGAGATCTTCTTTCAATTTGGTGACTAATGACCCTGTTCTCACGGCAATGACCAAACTCTTCGCATGACAGTTGTTTTAAGTACTGCGCCTAAACCTTTGACGCTGAATATAAGCATTGCTTCGTACTCAATAGGTCATAACTAGAGCTCGGATTTTTTTTTTTTACTGTACTTCTCAGTTAAGTAGAGTTTATGTATACAATTTATATTTCTATATGTATAGGCAGATAGTTTTAATGTTGGGGCATCTTAGGAGGAGGAATGTAGTTACGCATTTGTGACAAATATTTAAGTGGTTGAGGGATTTTTTGTTTACTTGAATTGGCATAGCAAAATGAATAAATACAGCATACGAGACATTAACTCAAATTGCAGTGCAAGAAACTCAAACATTACTTGAGTAGATACATAGAGTACATATGTATGTATGTAAGTATGCATAATAAAGCATATACATAGGCATATATTTAAGACAATAGTTATTTGTATGTATAAATGTTAACATAGGATTATTGCTCAGCATGATTTTTAATGGTAAGTTAAAAATATAGGCATTTCGTGCAATTTTATTCTATGTAAGTATGTTTAAGTTCAGTAATATGTAGTAAAGAAAATGTTTTATTTAATCATTAGTTTCGAATACATTTAACTAATAATAATTTTTATAATGCAAAATAATGCAACAAAAATTACTTATGCTCCTAACATTATAGTGCCCTTGATAGTACCTACAGTGAGAGACAAAAATGTCCAAATGGTAAATTNAATAATAATTTTTATAATGCAAAATAATGCAACAAAAATTACTTATGCTCTTAACATTATAGTGCCCTTGATAGTACCTACAGTGAGGAACAAAAATGTCCAAATGGTAAATTTTTTGTAAATATTACCATGTTTTTCATATTACAAATTTTGTTTGATTACAATATTGACCATGCTGTAGCTTAAACAGCTTTTATCCAGGTTAAATGCCAAAGAAAATAATTACAAAAATTCTTTCTAACTTTTTGATAATGAATTAGTACTTAAAACGTTTCTTAGCATGCAATTTTATAACCCATGAGATCTTAGTACAATAAGGTGCAAGGTTGAAAACTCTAAAAAATGCTTTGATGTTTTTCCTTGTTTTACATATTNTATTACCATGTTTTTCATATTACAAATTTTGTTTGATTACAATATTGACCGTGCTGCAGCTTAAACAGCTTTTATCTAGGTTAAATGCCAAAGAAAATAATTACAAAAATTCTTTCTAACTTTTTGATATGAATTAGTACTTAAAACATTTCTTGGCATGCAATTTTATAACCCATGAGATCTTAGTACAATAAGGTGCAAGTTTGAAAACTCTAAAAAATGCTTTGATGTTTTTCCTTGTTTTACATATGTTATAGAATAAAATGCGCAAGATCATTTGCAAACACAGTTACACTAAATCTGCGCAAATTTTCATAATCGTGGCATTCATCTAATTGAGAAAGTGGCCTGGCAATTGGAAAAAAGAGCTGATTAGCGCAAAACAACGAATGTTGTCAAAGTGGTTGCTTGAGATAAACCGCTCCTTTGCCCGAGTGACAGGCAACTTGTTAAATTCNTTTATAGAATAAAATGCGCAAGATCATTTGCAAACACAGTTACACTAAATCTGCGCAAATTTTCATAATCGTGGCATTCATCTAATTGAGAAAGTGGCCTGGCAATTGGAAAAATGAGCTGATTAGCTCAAAACAACGAATGTTGTCAAAGTGGTTGCTTGAGATAAACCGCTCCGTTGCCCGAGTGACAGGACAGGCAAATTGCTAAATTCGGTGAATACCCCAAATATACATTTGTTATATGTAAGCAAAAAAAAATAAATCAAAATCACCGCGATTTTCTATAATCTTTAAACTTGCACTTTAATCTACCAAAATTTTATGGGTTATGAAACTGCATGCTCGGAAATGGTTTACAAATTCATACCAAAGGGTTAGAAAATTTTATAAAATTTTGAGAGTTTTTCGAATTTTTTTCTTTGGCTTAAGACTTTCATTAAAGCTGTTTTAACTTTAGCATGGAAAATATTTTAATCAAACATCAGCGCAAAAGTTTTAATATCCAAACCATGTTAGTATTAAAAAAAAATTACCCTTTAGACATTTTGTCTCCTTACTTGTATGTATGTATAAAAAAGTGTCAAAACACACGAAGCATTTAATATACTAAAGAAAGAAACTAGGGGTTAAATATAGGAAAACTGCATTTTTAGTTTCTCTCTGACGTTAAGACTTTTAACTTTCAGAGATTTGATNAAAAAAAAAAAAATCTAAATCACGGCGATTTTCTATAATCTTTAAACTTGCACTTTACTCTACCAAAATTTTATGGGTTATGAAACTGCATGCTCGGAAATGGTTTACAAATTCATATCAAGGGGTTAGAAAATTTTATAAAATTTTAAGAGTTTCTCTAACATTTTTCTTTGGCTTAAGACTTTCATTAAAGCTGTTTTAACTATAGCATGGATAATATATTAATCAAACATCAGCGCAAAAGTTTTAATATCTAAACTATGTTAGTATTAAAAAAAAAATTACCCTTTAGACATTTTGTCTCCTTACTTGTATGTATGTATAAAAAAGCGTCAAAACACACGAAGCAATCAATATACTAAAGAAAGAAATTAGGGGTTAAATATAGGAAAACTGTATTTTTAGTTTCTCTCTGACGTTAAGACTTTTAACTTTCAGAGATTTGAGTATTTCAAAAAATTATTTAAAAAGCTCATTGCACTGCAGTAAAACAATATGGACTCCAAATTAAAGGAAAGTCTGTATAATTAAGAAATTATAATTTTGTTTGGTTCACAAGGACGAATAGGTTTTGAAAATGCCCTTTTATTTCACTTTTTGTATCCTCATTTCATTTTTATTTATTTTATTTATTTAAAAAAAAAAATTCCAGAACATTCAATGATATTCAAGCGTATAACTTTAAAAGAACATAGAATTATCTCTATGTATTTTTTTCATAATAGTTTTAATTAATCATATCTTTGAAATTTTAAAGATCTTAAAAAAAATTAACGTCAGAGCGAAAACACTGAAAACGCATCTTCACTATATTTGGGCCCTAATTTTGCGGGTGCATTGATTTTTTTGTGTGAAAGTTTTAAATTTACTTATATTTACTGCACAGTTAAATAAATTTAAACTTTGTTTGCAGCAGAATAAACATGGCATTATTTTGAAAGATGACAACATATTGACAATTTTCGCTGAACAAAGCGATAGTCCGGCAAGTCTGAGGTTTTTTTTTCCAACGCAAAGGTTTCGGAGTCATACTAATCTCTGCGCTGCAAGCACAAAATATCGAAGAGGCAAATTTTTGACGTCTTCGAGGCAAATTTTTGACGTCTTCGAGACAAATATAACTCTTTAAAAATTCCGCAGATCTTAAGTTTACGTGGAAATTAAAAAAAGTAGAACCTTTCAGCGAATCGAATATGTATTTAAAATCTCAAATTAAAAAAATGTCAAAAGTTTTTGAAAGGTTTGATTCTCCTTAATTCATTATGGTGTTTGTATACTCCGTAGTTTTTTACAGCCAATGTAAATATTTTACTATTAAAAATGGGAAAATGGACGGGTGGTGGGTCCAATGCACTTACGATATATATTTAACTTTCTAACCAAAAAAAACAGCGTTTCCTCAAATATTAAAACCCTAACTCTTTAAAATTTTGTAGTCGCAGGACAAAGTGAAGTCACGACTCGTTAATTTTTAAGTGCAAAAAAAAAACACAAAACTTAGACGTGCTGGACTATGACTGTGTTCAGCGAAAATAATCACAATAACGTCTTTTTTCGAAAATACACCAAGGTAATTCTATTGCAAAATGCTGTTGTACCCTGTTGCTAGTAGCTAATATATTAATTCATTGCAGCAAAGAGCAAAATTGTCTTTGTAAATACGGGTAGGTTATATTCGTAGTAGATATGTAAATATTTGCGTGAATAGTTACTTGTATGTATGATAGAATAAAAATATTTTATCTAGATTTAAAAAGTAAAGATTATAACAATAATAACTCATAATAGTTGCATAGTTACTGATCAATTTTCTAGATCCTTTCGAGCTAAGTATTTTAAGAATTAAATATTTGCATACATATACATACATATATACATAGGTGTGTACAAAAAATACCAGGGTGTTGNCCTTTCGAGCTAAGTATTTTAAGAATTAAATATTTGCATACATATACATATATACATAGGTGTGTACAAAAAATACTAGGGTGTTATATTAAAACGTAGCTGATTTATATGTGCATACATATACATTTTGAAGAGAAATATTTATATATTTAGAATATCAATAAGAGCTATATTAATACCATTTGTTGCACCTAATAATCTATTATAGGCTAAGAAATATCATAAGATACACAATATATATATGTAGCATAGATAAAAGCTTAGGATATACATTAGTATTAATGGCAAACCAATAAACTAATTGTAAAATAGAATATGTAGAGAATGCATTTGGCAAATCGAAGCGTTGCGATGTTACGGTCGTAAGTTGCTTTTAATTCTTTCGGCAAAAAATTATAAGTTAAAAAATTTCTCCGATGTAAGGACGATTTTAATCAGTACTAATGGGAACAAATTAGTGACAATTAGAAATTAAAGTATTATTTTAGACTTTTATATTCTTCGGGATCGATTACGCAGGCTTCATATAACAAGACTTTAACTCAATAAATAAACTCATTCGACGTCAGTCGGAAGGACTGGTATTATTTTTAATATTTCCATTTTTTCGAAGTCAATTACACAGATTTCATATAACAAGTCTTTTTAACTCAATAAATAAGCTCATTCGACGTCAGTCGGGAGGACTGGTACTATTTTTACTATTTCTATTTTTCGGGATGACTGGTATTTTTAATATTTATAATTTTTCGGGGTCAATTACGCAGATTTCATATAACAAAATTCTTTAACTCAATAAATAAGCTCATTCGACGTCAGTCGGGAGGACTGGTACTATTTTTACTATTTCTATTTTTCGGGATGACTGGTATTTTTAATATTTATAATTTTTCGGGGTCAATTACGCAGATTTCATATAACAAAATTCTTTAACTCAATAAATAAGCTCATTCGACGTCAGTCGGGAGGACTGGTACTATTTTTACTATTTCTATTTTTCGGGGTCAATTACGCAGATTTCATATAAGAGGACTATTTAACTCAATAAATAAACTCATTCGACGTCAGTCGGAAGGACT